GGAGCCTCTGTGCTAAAAAAATCATCATAATAGCTGACAGTTGATTCTTCCATCTCAGAAATGAGTGATGCCTGTGAAGGAGCTTTCTGTGTTGTTGTGTATTCTCGGTGCTACAGGCAACAGTTTTGATCTTTCCGCCCCCTTTTGATTATTTTACAGATGGCAAGAAAACCCTTTAATGTAGAAACCACAAATTGACCTCTGATTAGTAATGTAAATGCCTTGCACAAAATGGGAGGGCCTGTTTGGATTTGACCAATCTGCTTGTTTTATTCTAAATATACTTTAATTTTTATCTTACTGCTGCATATGACTATAAAAAATATTGGGGGTGGGGGTGATTTCCTTGAACTTTGGGAGACGGAGATAAGTTTCTTTACAAATGAAATATTTTAAATGAGAAGGTTTTGAGGTTACAGAGAGTTAGTAGAAAGCAGGAAGTAATAAATTCAGTTTCTTTGGATGGGTTATTGTCATTTAAATAACGGTTTACCTTTCTGATATATTGTTCTAAAACTGGGGGGGGGGGGTTGTTCCTACATCTTGCAATTGGTATTTTACAGGGATTTTTAAATATCTAAAACAAGATAATTTTGTCTTCTGCCTTCTCAGCTTTGTTTGCAGCAAATATTTATGCTCTGCATACATAATGGTGGTAGTAAACTTCACTCTAGCCTTTAAAATAACTTTTTTAATTTTTATTCCTCTTATAACAGCATCTTGCCTTTGTATTTTCTTGGAAACTGACACAGAGAGTACTCCATCTTTCTGTGTTATACCTCTGAGGATGCCAGTCACAGCTACTGGTGAAATGTCAGGTACTACAATGCCAAGACCACGGCCATACAGGCCAGAAAATCTACAACAACTAATTTCTTGGAAGTGTTTAAATGTTCTGTTTCTCCTGTTATCATTTGCTTGCTTATTTAAGGTTGCCAGACCCCCAGTCCAGGAGGGGGGTTCCCCGATTTTTTGGGCTTCTGCTCGCCGCCAACCAGCTGGCCAGCAAGGAAGTCCTGCCCCCAAACAGGGACATCACGCCACAATGTCTTCGACATGATGACATCATGCAGAAGTGACATCATCACGTCGGGACATCGTACAGCAATGCTCTGCTTTTTGGGCAAAACACTATGGTTTGAGGCCAAAAAACCCATATATTTTTGTCCAAAATGCAAAGCGTTGCCGCACAACGTTCCTAAAGTGATGACAACACTTCCATGTGACATCACTACATCGGGGATGTTGCACAACATCCCTGCCCACCCCCAGAACACCCCCCAAATCCCCCCTGCCAGCAAACTGAGAGGACCTTGCAACCTTATGCTTATTTGTCTTTTTGTCAGTCCACAGTATCTGCAAAACTCTCCTCCAACACCACATTTCAACTGAATCAACTTTCTTCCAGTCAGTTTTCTTCATTGTCCAACTTTCACACCCGTACATGTAATGGGGCATAATATGGCATGAAATATCTTGATATTGGTCACCAGCGACACAACATTGCACTCAAGAATTTTTTTCTAGCCTCCTTCATGGCTGCCCTTCCTAGTCTCAGTCTCCTTCAGATTTCTTGGTTGTAGTCTCCCGTTTGGTCGATGATGGAGCCAAGGAATAGAAAATCTTTAATTATTTCAATTTCTTCATCAGCCCAGCTGTAATCCTGCTTTGGCATTTTCTGCTTTAACCTTCAGCAGTAGTTATTTCAGGTCTTCACTACTTTTTGCCAGTAATGTGGTGTCATCTGCATATTTCAAGTTATTTTCCTTCCACCAATTTTCACTCCACCCTCATCTAAATCTAATCAAGTTTTACTTGTAATATGTTCTGCATATAGAAGACCAGATAATGAAACTGAAGCTCAAATACTCTGGCCACCAAATGAGAAGGGAGCACTCACTGGAGAAGACCCTGATGCTGGGAAAGACTGAAGGTCAAAGAAGACAGGGACGGCAAACGATGAGATGGTTAGACACTGTCATACATGCAATGAACATGAAATTGAGCAAACCTCAGAGGACGGCGGAAAACAGGAGGGCCTGGCGAGATCTTGTCCATGGGGTCGCGAAGAGTCGGAGTCGACTGTGCGACTGAACAACAACAACAAATAGACTGAAGAGACAGGGAGATAAAATGCATTCTTGTCTGACACCTTTGCCAACTGGAAACCATTGTTTCTCCATATTCTGTCCTAACTATAGCCTCTTGTCCAGAGCACAGGTTGACATACATTTGCCAGCTCCGGGTTAGGAAATATTTGGAGTTTTGAAGGGTGGATCCTGAGGAGGGTGGAGTTTGGAGAGGTATAATGCCATGGAGTCCACCTTCCAAAGCAGCTATTTTCTCCAAGTGAACTGATCTCTGTCACCTGGAGATCAATTTGTTTGTTTAATTTGATTTATCAACCACCCTCCCCCAGAGATCGGGCTCAGGGTGGTGTACATGGTCATAAAACATTAGATAAAACAATATTAAAACCAACAGACCAACAATTGAGCTAAAGATGGCACTAAAATCCCAACAGTGTTGGCTGTCTCATGGGAGGGCAGGGGACGGGAGTGCCAAGATGGAACCAACACTTGTTGTTGTTCAGTCGCACAGTTGAGTCCGACTCTCTTCGCAACCCCATGGACCTGTCCTCAGCCAAATGCCTGGTGGAACATCTCTGCCTTACAAGCCCTGACCTACCTCAATCCAGCCGTCGGCAGCGCTCATCTGTGAGGGCAACCAGAGCCGTCTCTATAATCCCAGGAGATCTCCAGCCACCACCTAGAGCTTGGCAACCCTAGTTGCACATCAAAACAATCAGATGTTGTGGCACACCCTTTTCTTTTAAAACCAACCATAGCTTTTCCTGATCCACACAATCGAAAAGCTTTGCTGTCATCTATGAAACACAAGCTGATTTTCTTCTGAAATTCTCTCATATGCTCTAGTAACCAACGTAAATTAGCAATACGATCTATAGTGCCTCTTCCTTTTCTGAATCCAGCTTGAGCATCTGGAATTTCCTATTCCATATATGGTAACAGTCTCTGTTGTAAGATTTTGAGCATCACCTTACTTGTGTCAGAAATGAGTACAATGCATTGATGTGGTACATGATTACGACTGCTAGAATGACATATGCCCAATGTTGGAAACAAGAGAAGGTCCCGGAAGTTGGGGAATGGATTAATAAATTACTTTTTATGGCTGAAATTGACAAAATGACAAGGAAACTTAATAATATGGAGGCAGAATAATTTTTTGCAGACTGGAAAGACTTTAAAGACTATTTGGAGAAATACTGGGATGTAAAGGACAATTTACTTTGCTTTGAGAATTATTGAAAACTGAAAGATAGCAGACAATAGAACGTATAAGAATAATTAATGAAGGATAAGTTACCTGTGGATGTAATTAGTGAAAAGGGGAGATATGAAGGAAATTTAAGAATTGGGCTGGAGGTTGGAGCACTGTGGGAAGCCAAGAAGGGGGGGGGAGGGAAGGATATATAATTGTATAAGATTTGATATATACTTAGTCTTGTTGTTTTTTATTATATCCTAATAAATTGTTGTTTTTTTAAAAAAAGAAATTAGTACAATGGTCCGATAGTTGCTGCAGTCTTTGATGTCTCCTTTTTTCAGAACTGGAATGTAAATTGTCCCTTGGCACTTTGTTAAGAGCTTAACATCCATCACCGTAAAATAATTGAAAAGTACTTACTAGCGATTTCAGCTCATATACTTTTATTTAGTTTGGAACAAGACAAAACTTAACCAGCTCACAGGCAACAATCCCACACCCAAAACACACCCACACACAAGTGATTGGCTATTTACAGTGGCCGAGAGTTCCACAGGCTCTCGGCCGGGAGCCTAGCCTGCCGATAGGCGCCAACTAGGATCCACTTGTCCCAATGTTACTGCGAGCGAAGCTCAGCCGCTTCGCATGACCGCCTGGTGAATTGGCCACGCACGCGGTCTGAGGTGGATACATTACAGTAATAAAGCTGCCATTTGCCAGTTTTTACTTTACTGTGGTGCGAATTTTGCAATGTGAAAAAAAATTATTTCACAGTAGCCTTAGCATCTGCCCCACCCCCACCCCACCCACTGGACACTGGAGGCCACCCTCCAAAGCAGCCGTTTTCTCCAGGGGAATTGATATCTGATGTCTGGAGATAAATTGTAAGTCCTGGTTCTCCAGGCTCCACCTGGAGATTGGGAACCCTAGGGAACACAGTCTAGGAAACAGTCTTTTAGGTGTAGCTGCCTGGCCAATGGGATCCAGGGGCATTGTCTGCCCCTGAATACACTTCTACTCACAAGGGATCTGGGGCAGTAAATTGAGTCCACAGGGAATATTCCCAGGGATTAAATCCCTTCTGGTATCAGTCATGTCCCCCAGACTGAATGTCTTGCTATTCAGGCGTCAGTTGCTGTTCCACGGAGCTGGATCTCTGTCGCCTGGAGAGTTGTAATCCGAGGAGATCTCCATCCACCACTTGGAGGTTGGCGGCAGCCCTAGCTGTACAGCAGCCACTTTTTATTTATCTGACTGAGCTGACATATTTTAACATATTTCACCTATTTATAAAGAAGTTAATTACAAAATAACCCAAACAAATTTTTTAAAAGATGAACAACGTTTATCATGTATTATAACAATAAACCCTCTGATAATGTACAGCCTTATGTGTTTTTGTGATATCTGTCATTTTAATTCATACTACTTTTTAAAAAATTATAAACAAGCCTTACCAGCCAGTCGCAAAACTACAATATCCTATACCAAGCCACAGTTAACTGAGAGCAGGCAGCTTTTTGAAGGTGTTACGTGTCGTTTACGCCTGCTAATATTCCCGCCCTCTTGGACGTCACACAGGGAACTACAATTCCCAAGCTGTACAGGAATAAATCCTTCCCTCTGCTTTTTCTCAGCGCGGTGGATACCGCTCGAACTACAAGTCCCAGGATGCTTAGCCAGAAAGTGTTCCGAGGAAGCATCTTTCCCCCTTTCAACACCGAGCGATCGTTGAGGGTGGGCGGTGGAAACGGCGCCGTGCATTTAGGAGGGGGGGGGGTGTCAGAAGGAGGATGGGAGGTGAGTACCGATGGGCCTGGCTGCGTCGTGGGGTGCCCGTGGTGTTGGTGGTGGGGACTCGGGGAAGGGGCGGGGAAGTGGATGTGCCAGAGCTCCATGACCTACATTTTGATGGGCTACTACATTCTTTATAAAGGGTACCAAAGGAACAGAAAAAGTATCCCCCCATGCCAGACCTCGGGTCATTGTTTCAGTCCAGCAATTCGGTAGAGCACCCAGATGTTTACCTGCCTTTTTTGTATACCGATCCTCAAATAGAAGCATCCTACCTCTTTTCCGTGATTCTAAAATTGTATTTTTATATTTAATATAAATGCCATCAAGCAAATACACGTATAAAGGGTGGGGATTAAGAGGAGGGATTTAAATTGGGGAAACAGAGAAGTGGGTTTTGGTATACCACCTGACTGCGTATAAGAGAAGGATTAAGCTGTCGCAAGACATATTTCTGTTATTAGCTCTTATTTTTATTACACTTTCACTGGAGAGGATCCCTGATTTATATGATTAGTAAGCAAAATAAACTTCAGAACATGAATAGGTTTTCTGTTCCAATGTGGTGACAATCACAGTCTTTCTCAGATCCTGGCTTTGATCAAAGAAAGTGTTGTTTTCGCTTTAGTTATAAAAGGCTGGCTATAACAATGCAGCCATCCTGATAAAGATTCTCCAAAGGAAGGAAACAGTGGTCTTGCCCTTTATTGAACTACAGAAAAAAGTAGCGGGTTACAAAACTATCAGTTGAAGAGCCCCCCCTCCCCCCCCCGGTTTTCCTGAAATCAAAATGAGCAGAAATCTAAACTTTTTGTCCCAGATGTATTTCTTAATGATACAACTTTACCAGTAATACTGGGCTAACTAGAGGTTCAGAAACTTGGCTTCAGCATGAGAATATATTTACACATTAAATACCTAGTGGTAATCTTCTTTCCTGCATATCCTAAACTTTATTCCGCTTGTATGATAGAATGATCTCCTGGTGCAAATTCATGAATTATGTATCCCCCATCTAAAGTTGTTTTAAATTAAAAGATATAAGATTAGGCTACTCTACTTGGGTGTTGGCTATGCAATTTGTTTTTAGTAACCAAGATTGTGGAGTAGATTGTATTTAAAATGAACGTCATTAATTTGCAAAAACTGAAATTTGCTTCTCTTTGCCACCCTCCCAAACTAATTAAAATCCACCCTTAATGCTGCTATGCCTTGGGGACATTGTTGTGGAAGCAATGCTTTGTTAAAATTGCTGAGTTTTCCCATCTTTCTTTGGAGAAGAGCAAAGTTAGGTAGTCACCTTGGTGGGAACGATAAGCTCTGTGTTATAAAAGAGGTTTTGGTGTGTTGGAAGGATGTTGAAAATAATCTTAAATTATAGAAATTCTAGGCATCCTTACTTGGCTGTATGTTTCTTTAAGCAAATTAGGCATATTGCCAAGTAATTATGCTTAAATAGGATAGCTGCTGGAAATTAACTTGTGTTGAAATCACACTGTGGGCTGACTTACACAGTAGTGTTCAGCTGTGTTTCTCAACAAGATCATGTCCCTGTGCATGTTGTCATGGGGAGGGAAGTATTATGAGAACTCCGCAGTGATAAATGCAGCTGACATACTGCCAAAATGTATTTTCATCTCCTGGTGACATGCGTGCATGAAGATGCTCACGTAGGGAAGAAAAATCAACATCTGGAAGAAAAAGAAGAAGAGATTGGATTTATACCCCGCCCTTCACTTGGAGTCTCAGAGTGGCTTACAAACTCCTTTCCCTTCCCCTCCCCACAACAGGCACCCTGTGAGGTGGGTGGGGCTGAGAGAACTCTGACACAGGCTGCTCTTTTCAAGGACAGCTGTGCCAGAGCTTGTGACTGACCCAAGGTCACATCAGCAGGTGCAAGTGGAGGAGTGGGGAATCAAACCCAGTTCTCCCAGATTAGAGTCTGCGCACTTAACCACTACACCAAACTGGCTCTCTGGAACGTGAATCGGTGTGTAGTTCCAAGAATGCTAATGCTGAGCATCTTCAGCTAAAAGCAATTGCATAAGTTCATGAGAAGTGTGATGACTTATGAACTACTGAGCCAAGAGTATAATGTTTGATCTCAAAAAGATATTTTCCCACAGTTCTTTATTTACAAAGGGAAGCCACCTTTCACTCAGAATATTTGCCAGAGGGCCCATTGACTCATTTTTAGAGTGAAGTGTAGAGTTCACAGGCTTGCATTCTAATTTAATTCTTCATCAGGCTATTTAAAAAGAAGCTTTGCTAAATTTTGTAAAAACAAAAATCAAAGGATCCATTTTTAAAAATGTGATTATCTATTCTAAGCTTGGTGTATTAGTACTGCCTAGTGGTATTAAGAAGGTAAGGTATGCTGCTTTCACCCTAATATTTTGACTTTATTTAGTCTTTCTCTGAAACATCAACCAACCACAACTGAAGAGTGTGCTGGTGCTGAAAGACTAACAAAACTGTGGGGGGGAGGGGGGTTGAGAGCCTATGTGGTTCTCAGGTACAAAGTCTAACAAAATGTGAGCTCACACAGTCCTGGGAGTAGATCGTTCCCATCCTTGTCTCATGTTGCAGGTTTTCAGTACATGCAGATATAATGTGTATCACAGTAATGATTACTGGATGATGGGTCAGTTGTGGGGCAGTGAGGTGTCCTTGTGTATTGAAAAATCAGGACCCAAAAGTGACCTGAAGCATTAGCATAGTGGCTAGGAGGCTGGGTTGTGATTCCAGAAGACCCTGGTTCAGATCTTGCCTCAGCCAAGCACTCCCTAGCTGGCCACAGGTAAGCCTTCCCCTTCCACCTGCAATAGTTCAGTTTATTTTAGTACATGATCAGCTCAAAAAGTATTAATAAAACAATAAAAACAACCGTGTACAATACCAAGATTTATGTGCCATTGTAATCCAACATTCCAAATTCTTGCACACATTTCACAATAATGGGGTCCAATGTTCCGTCTAATTTTTTCCCTTTACTGAGTGGTACAGTTCACAACCTGAGCAGAATATATCTGCTGTCATCTTAATATGGGCAGTGGGCAATGGGCAGTGCAAGACTCTGCGCAGCTTCCTGTGTAAATGAGCAGCTGCTCACGGACACAGCGTAGAGGGAACACTGGTGGGGTTATTTGGAGACTCAGACATCTGCTCTCATATTGGACATGGCATTATACAAAATTTTGTTCCATTACAAGTAGTTTCTTTAGAGGAGTCTGAAAGGAAGAGGGAAGTGTAGAATTGCTCTGATCTTCCCCGGGGAATTTATTAAAATCAGAGTACTATATTGGGAATGTATATCATTAAAGTAGGGACAGTGTAATAATATGTGATCAACTGTCTCAACCTTTCCCATTTGACAAGGGCAAACCCATAAGGAATGCAAAGATATCTGCCTTCCAGAAAAGCTGAGGGCAAGGCATTGAAACGTGCCAAAATGAAGGTTCTCCAGTACTTAGGAATCTCTGAGGTAGTCTGCTGGCAAAACATTCTTAGTATGCTGTATTGCAGTAGGGTACTGCTGCAAACAGGTCCTGTGTAACAAGATGGGGGTTGTCCTTTGACATTGCCCTCTGCCAGCTTGTCCATCTGCAATAAAGCTGCTGTTCAGCCTTACAGGATCATTACAAAAATTTGTGGCAACTGTTGTTACGACTTCATCACACATCCAACTTCTGCAGTCGATGCACATTTCAGCTTACTATCACAGTGGGGTGAATTGACTGCCTTAGTCACCGAAGTTGGGGGGAAATTTCCCCCCTCAAAATAGATCATCTTGTGAACTTAGGTTTTTACCTGTGCCTCTAGCATGTGACATAGCTTGCTTGCTTGGTTATCTGTTTTTCTATGTCTATTCCTTGTCTAACAACTATGACACTTCCTGTGAAATAGGCACAGTGTGATTACTTGGAGTGATGACTCAGCACTTCCCTGGTGCACAAACTATTGGATGGATGAAACTTGATGATGGATTTCTCTGTAGAACTCATGTTTTCCTAATTTCTAATTCAGAATTTGCAGGTCAAGCCTATTAGTTACCATGAAATTGAAAAGCGTGCTTAAATGTTGAACTTATTACAGTTTGAAAGAATTTTGTCTGATATGGTTAATGTTTGCATAGATCTGGCATCAGAAGGTCCCTGATAGTCCTAGAACTGTAAGGCTTTGATTGTCTCCATATTGACATTGTCTAATGACAGTTCTTTAGCTTATAATGGCTTCTGTTGAATAACAATATTTCCATTGCATAGAATAATTCAACTAATTAAAAACAGACTTCATTCTGGCTTGTGAATAATCAAGGTACAACAAAACATGGGTTTGTAAGAACAAAGTTTTATTCACTGATCAGATGGGAAAACTTATGAAAAAACACAACCTACAAACAGTATTCAGACCTACCAGAAAAATACAACAGATGTTATGATCGGCAAAAGACAGAAGAGACCCCCTCATTTCTGCAGGAGTATACCACATACCCTGCAGTTGTGGACAGGTTTACATCGGGACCACACACCATAGCATCCAGACAAGAATAAAAGAACATGAAAGACACTGCAGACTTGGCCAACCTGAAAAATCAGCAGCAGCTGAACATAGCTTAACTCAAACAGGACACAGTATCTTATTCCAAGGCACTGAAATGCTGGACAACACATCCAGTTACCATGTCAGAATACACAGGGAAGCCATTGAAATTTATAAACATAAACAGAATTTCATCAGGAAAGAAGAGAGTTTAAAAATAAATCGAGCATGGTTTCCTGTCCTGAAAAACACAAAATGCTCTACATCTTACAACAGTACTACATATAAGATTAGAATTTCAACGGCCAATCCATATGCAAAAGAACCTCCTCAGGAAAGCTCCTCTATTAGCATGTCACAGCCTGGGAAACCTCTACAAGATAATGACTCAACCCTACCCCACCTTCCTGAGTAGATATAAATTACCTGGCTACCATTTTTCTTCTCACATTGACACAGAGAATACTCCATCTTTCTGTGTTATACCTCTGAGGATGCCAGTCACAGCTGCTGGCAAAACGTCAGGTACTACAATGCCAAGACCACGGCTATATAGCCCGGAAAATCTACAACTAAAGTTTTGTTTATACGTTTGTTTAAAGAGCCATGGAAATGGTGGTCTTGAGGTAACCCAGCATCCTTGTTCTGCCTAAACTCATTCTGCAGATGGTCCTTTAATTCACACCGGTGTTAACTAGTTTTATTTCTAGTATTGGTACCAAGTGGTACACAAATTCTGGTTTATTTTCTTCCATTTGAACTCCTACCATTTAGGTCTCCCACCACCACCAGTCTTTCAAATTCAGTTACATTGTAGTTGTAGACCTTGTAGTGTGATCCTATGCACAGTTACTCCAGTCTAAACCCACTGAAATAAATGGGTTTGGCTTGTAGCTGACTGGGCATAGATTGCACCATTACAGTACAATCCTAAACAGAGTTATACCTGTATAAACCCACTGAGCTCTGTAGACTGAGAATGATGTAACTCTGTTTAGGGTTGCACTGTTAATGTCTTTAACAGATGTGCTGACTAGTACCTCCATATTTTGTCACCTTATAGCCTTCTGGTATTATAAAGATAAGCTCTGCCTGCCTCCACCCTTTATCTCTGTGCTCATCTCTTTAACCACCTGCTGCTTTGCAAAGGCTTCTTTCCCAAGCACTCCCTTTAATTGCCTTCACAGGCTCCAGACTATGTTCAGGCTTTCACTTGGTTCATCACTTTTACTTTCTTTTAAAAGAACTAGTCTAGCTTTAATGCTGTGCTGTGTGTTGCATTATCTTGCAGTTTGCTTGCTCCACAGGTCATGGATTATGAAGAACCAAGAACATTGCTGTGACACGTGAAATGCATCTTCTTGGAAAGAAAGAAGGTACTTGAGAGAGTGGCTTGAAAGATGTAATAGTTAGTCTGTATAGCAGACCTATCTACAACTCACTGCATTCTTACTTCTGAAAGAGCTGGTGGAAGTGACTGTTTCCAACACTCTGGGAGGCTTCAGGCAAGCCCTCATCTGCAATGTAAAGATGATTCTGACTGTGACACACCTAAAACAGGGTTTTTACAGGGATTACTGAGATTTGATATCTGAAGTTTTTTTAAAAAAACCTTGAAGCAACATAGAAATGTTAAGCCGTGTCATTTTTTGTTGTATGCAATTGACGTATTTCAATATATTGCATTTAATCTAATGCTTGGTAATATTTTGAAAGTGTAGTTTTAGACTTGAACAGTATGACATGCAAATTTAGCAGCTTACAAAATATGTGTTTTATGTATGTGTTTATTTTAAAAATTTACACCTCACATCTGTAAATTTAAGGAGGCTCAAAGAACAGCAAAAATGGCAAGGATGCAAGCATCTTAAGCAACAAGTTAAAACCAATATACAATTAAAATATGCAGTTACAATCTAGCACACCATGTTTAAAAAGCCAGTTTGCCCTTTGGGAAAAGAAGTCTTGCAGACTTTCTTGAATGTGGTATGTGAAGGTACTTGCTGCACCTGTTCTCATAGGCCATTCCAAAGGAATGAACCTATGGCAACAGTGGGAGGGCTCCTGATGGCACCTGGTAGTTTTGGCCACTGTGTGTTGGACTAGATGGGCCATTGGCCAAATCCAACATTGGCTTCTCTTATGTTCTTATGTAACCTACCACAGGAAAAGCCTGGCTGTTGCCAGGCACACAATGCTAGGGGAGGGTACCACCAGGAAAAGGCTATCTGAGGAGCATAATACAAGTATGTTGCTTTTTCCTGTGTCATAGGGTGGGTAGCTTGATCAGTGGTTCTGCTGGCCTGTTAGCCAAGAAGGAGTGATTGTTGATCCTGGCTGGCTGTACTACATGCAGATCTACTGAGGGACTTGACTGAACTAGGCAGCATTGACAGTATTGACCTTTGTGTGCTGTTTACTGCTGTTCTGTATTCATCAATATCATCTGTTCTTATTTTCAACTTTGATTGGTTTTAGTGGCCAGAATGGTAAAGTAAGAGATGTTCCTCTATTACTTGCATATTAAATTACACACACATTGCAAGGGGAGAAGGAAAGCAACAGGTGTTGTTTGGCTGAAGGATAACTGGAAAGACATGAATCCTTATCAGACTTCAGCTGTTATTGTTCATTATTTGACTCTTTCCCCCCCTCCTTCCCCTCCCATTGTCAACAGCAGTTGAGATAGCATGATGGATAACCGTTTTGCCACTGCTCTGGTAATTGCCTGCGTGCTCAGCCTTATCTCCACCATCTACATGGCAGCCTCAATTGGCACAGACTTCTGGTATGAGTATCGCAACCCATCACCTCCTGAGAATAACAGTGAACCTAACAAGGCCTCTTGGGATGAATTCATTTCTGAAGATGCAGATGAAAAGACCTACATGGATGCACTCTTTCAGTGGAATGGCACCATTGGGCTATGGCGGAGGTGCATCACAACAACTGAGAACTCTTACTGGTACAACTCTCCAGGTAAACGTGCTCCAAAGAAGTTCTCTGGGTACCCTGTTAAGTCACTGCTGTGCATCAAATTACCCCCTGTTAGGTGCCATGTAGGTTCAACACGTTTAAGCGCCACATGCAAGCCAGTGATCCTCAACAGCAGTCCAGTATTCCTTTGTGCCCTGTGATCAGTTGGGTTACTGTGGGCGTACAGAACTGTCCCTAGAGATGCACAGCCATGGTTTCTGTCGCATTTCCAGACCTGCTCCCCACATTGACTTAAACTAGCAGCATTTGTTTCCTGTTTTATTCTTTAGCCACTGGAGCTAAATTCAACTACAGGGATTCTAATAAAGAAGAAGTAGGGGTGGGGGACCTTACACCCCGCTTCTCTTCTTTCGATTGGAGTGTGGAGAAATGTGGAGGTATAAAATGCAAATATGGAAAGTGGAATTTACAACTCTGTTCCACCTGCTGCAGCCACGTTTTAGTCAACTTCCCCCAATTAAAACAACCACAGCAGGAAAGATTTCCTTTCAAGGCTCCTATGCTCTTGCTTCTGGCTGATGGTGTCCACGGGAAAATTCTGGAGGAGTTTTCTTATACTCTGGAACAAATGCAGTGCAGTCCTACACAGGGTTACTTCATTGGTTCAACTGTGAGATAGCATAGGTTTACACTGTTGGACTCCAGACAGCTTTCCATCTAATTTGGAGAAGCCATTTGCAATTATTTCTACTCGTGTATTGAAATTGACCTTTAAAGAAGCAATGGAATTAGGGTGTCTTTGGCCTTTGCAGCTGGCTGATGGTGTCCATAACACGTTTTGCACCTCTAGTTACAGAGAAGCTTTCATTTGCTACAGAACAAAAGCATCTTTATCCCACCCTTCCATCAAGGAACTCCAGCCAGCATACTTTCTAATAAAGATCCTGTCCTACTGTATCTGGTTATTTTTGAATATTGTGATGAGGTGCAATAAATATCCTTCATAGTGGGAAGAAAAAACAACCACCACAGTAGGGTGGGGGAGTTATTCAAAGACTTCCCTTTTCTCACTAAATATACTTTGCTAGTTTCAGCGAACTTCCTCTTGCAAATCTCTTTCTGACAGGTTAGATGAACACCAAGCATGGGTGTAAAGCATTTTTATTTCATACTAGGAGCAATACCCGTTGTATAGAAGGAATACAACGAGCCCTAGGAAGACAGCCCCCCCTGTTCCCCCGCTTTCCCCCCCTCCCCAGACCCCGGAGGTCAAGGGGCGACGCAAGGGCCCGGCACTGGCCTTGCACCTGGCAGCCTCCAGGCCCCCTCCACCGCTCTGCGCCCCAGCTGCTCGCCAGCCCCTGTCCGTGCGCAGGCCGCCCTCCACCCCACCAGTGCACCGGCCCCTGTTTGTTCACAGGCCAGGTGGGTACCTGCAGTCGGGCTTGGCAGACAATGTCCGCTGTGGTGCCGGCAGGATCGGGCTTGGCCTGAGGAGCAGTCGCCCACTGGGTCAGTGCGCCGGCTGTGAGCTGACTGAGGCTGAGACGCTGGGTGGCGCTCCAGTGGGCGGGGCGATGGCAACGCAGGCAGTCATGCAGCCAATGGGTAGAGACACCATTTGAGCGACACACCAGCGGGCCAACTGATTTGGGAGCATGTTCAAGAGTCCACGGCCAAAACAGCTTTATATATAAGGAGAGATTTGACAGTGTTAAATGGACTATTTTGTATTTGAATTATTCAAGCATATGTATTTTGCCCAGCTCTTCCGTATGTCTTAACTAAAGATCAAGTGGGCTTGGACTGTTGTCAAACAGAGGGTAGAAAACCACCTGTCAGGTAATCTGATAATGAATAATGTTAGTAAATCAAATGAAACCTTAATTTATTTCTTTTCCTTTGGAAGGTGAGACAGTGACAAAGTGCATCAGTTTTTCCCTTTCAGACCAGTTCATGGACAAATATAAGGAACCTGGGAATCATAACAGTGGCAGTGACCTGAACCGTACCTGTAAGTAGGGTTGTTGTTTTTTTCTTTAGTGGACAAAAAGCAGCTTTGGGAAGGCAGCTTTCTAAAGCAGCTTACAGAGCTGTGCAGTACTATTTTTGTACTGTGATACTTATCATAGCCACGAATTCTTGGGCTGTATGGCAAATAAGTTCGTGGAACTTCTGTTGAGTCTCCCGCTGTTGTCATGGAAACAGTGGCCTTTTCACACTGAGGTAGCAAGAGTTCCATAAAATATGCTGTAGGGATACATTGCTCCCCGTATGTCCCTGCGCACCAGCTGTGGTCTTCAGCTTGCCCTCTTCTAGGTGTTCCCTCACTAAAGGTAGTCTGCCTGGCATCGAATAGTCCATGCTTCATCTGAAATCACTCCCAATTTTATGGAATGGGTTTTCTGAGGAAGTGAGGGGGGGCACTTTCAGTAGTTGCTGAATGGCTGTCTTATTCTCTACAGCTTTTAATGCCATGTAAATTGCAGGCATTTTATGAGACTGGTTGTGGTTTTATTGCTAATTGGATGCTTTTAATTCTGTATTGTAAGCTGCCTTGAGCCATGGAGAAAGATGGGGCATAAATGTTTTAATTAAGAAATAAAGCTCCTGAATCGGGATCTGCTAGTTAGAAAAAGTTACAATCTGTGGTTTGTCCATGCTTATTTCAGACTTGTGGCGTTTGCAGTTCCTCCTGCCCTTTGTCAGCCTCGGTCTGATGTGCTTTGGGGCTCTTATTGGGCTCTGTGCTTGTGCCTGTCGCAGTCTCTACCCTGCCATTGCCACTGGAGTCCTCCACCTCCTTGCAGGTGAGTCCCTCTTGCACGGTTGATCCCTCTGCTTTGTACTGAAATATAGGTGTCTTAATAATGGGGAGCCAAGAATCTGATGCTATTGCGTGACCCCTGGTCTGTCGTTCCTTCTCCAGGTCTGTGCACGCTCGGTTCCGTCTGCTGCTACGTTGCTGGAATTGAGCTGCTCCACCAGAAGCTGCCTCCTCCCGAGGGTGTGCAAGGCCAGTTTGGCTGGTCCTTCTGTCTTGCTTGCGTCTCTGCCCCTTTGCAGTTCATGGCTGCTGCCCTCTTCATCTGGGCTGCACGTACTAACAGGAAGGAATTCACACTCTTGAAAGCGTATCGGGTGGCATAGTGGGATATTTTTCACTGCTGCTCAAGCCTCTGGCTACCATGTTCAGTTTCTCCCCCCCCCCCCCCCCCTTTTATTTAGTCAGGTATCTGTTTTACAGAGTGCACGTTTCTTGCCAGTGGAAGTTAAATGGTCTGCAGGTGTTCAAGTTAAAAGACTTTTGGAGGCCAAATGACCAGAAACACCTCCTTTTTTGCCGGATGTCAGAAGGATTTTAACAAATGTTTAATGCTTAAAAAAATTATAATTTGGGTCTGACTTACCCGAAGGTACTGAATTTTTTTCCACAGCTAAACGAAGGCAGAAAACAGCATGAGAGAAGGAGAAAGAAAATGTGATTATGTGAACTTTGCCAGTATATGTATTGTGACCTATTGAGCGAAGAACCAATGCAGCCCTTTTTTCATAGATCTAGCTACTATGGTATTTCCGTATAGTTTATAACATTGTTATCCCTCTGCACCGTATTCCTTACCAACTTTGCTATCCTGGTTTGTTGCAAGAAGGATGATAACCAGCCGTTGGCTTCTTAATTTCTGTGAACTGATGTCAGGATTGGTTTTCTACGTATAGAAGGAACTCCCACTCTATTGTTCAATTTCTAATTTGATTAATCTATGTATATACATATATATATGTATATATATTACACACACAAAAGCCCTGACTTTTAAAACCCGTATTTATTTATGCAGTGCACTACATGACTGGATTTTTTTGTATAAGTATTACTCCCTTGTCCCCTGGACTAAAACGTTTGTTAAAAAATAAACCTGAGCAAAGGCTCATGGCTTTTACTGGAGTTGCATGCACTTGCTTTAATGACAGAGAGAGCACAATTTATTCTGAACCATTTCAGATGAGAAGCTTGATGTCATCTTCTATTCAGATTCTTTGTTCCTGGTTTCACTGAGCAGGGATCACTGTGGGAGAAATCAACTTGACCTTAATGCAAACTCTGGTAACTAAGACAAAGAAGATGCTTCTATTTTTAAGAAGATGCACTAACTTCTTAAGCTAACTTGGAATCCCCCCCCCTAGAGATAAATGGTTGGGAGGGAGACTCATTTGCCAAGTGCACAAAGCCCCAATTCACATTGGAACTGCTGGATAACAGGCTTCAGCCTCCCAGGGCCACTGTCCTAATGTAAAATGGCTCCAAGAGGCAGTATTTGCCCTACTGGAGGCTGCACGTCTTGTATCAACGGAGCTATATATGCAGTCCTTCAAGAGGACAAATAGCACCCCCACCAGTTTTGTTTCAGGTCAGGGAAACAGCACAGGGAAGTCTGAAGCCCCTTCCTTTCTGAATGCTGTGATCCAGTCAGGTCTCCATGCACGTGGGAAGTGACTTCTCAGCAGAGTGGCCTGGTACTGATTCATTCAAAGTCACGTTGGGGAACCCTGAGACACTTTGGAAATCGTAATGTATAGTTTGGCCCTTAGACTCAGCTGGAAAGCACAGAATGACCTGATGGGGAGACCCTATCCAGTACTACAGATTCTGTGTAGATAACGCCTATACAGGGGAGCCAGCAATTGTGCAGAATTCTTTTTTTTGTAATATCCTTCTTCAAACATCTAAAATGGGAAGGGGAAAGATTGCTGGGGGCATTGTGCATGTTCAGGGGAGCCAGCAATAGTGCAGAATTATTATTTTTTTGTAATATCCTTCTTCAAAAATCTAAGACGGGAAAGGGAAAGATTGCTGGGGGCATTGTGCATGTGACATGTGAATGATGGCAGGGGGTGCTGTCCCAAAGTTATCCATGATATAGCCACAGGTAGCTTTCAGGTGACATCTGGATCAGCTGTGACAGCACTCGTTGGAGTGGGGGGGAGTCACATTTTCACCTGAATGTGGGGATGGAATGTGATCCATCGGTTTCATTTATCACCATTTATAGTCTGCCTTTCCTGAGAAGATAGCCTCCCTCCTCCACAGGAAAAAATTACACGAAGGAAGACCTCGGGTTCCCTTGTAACAAATGAGTTACACCTTTATGTGCATTTTTTGTGCAACAAAAGGGAGTGAGTGTCAGTTAAGGCTTTTAGAACTTGAGCAGAAGAGCTTACGCAGTTACTCCCCGAGGCTCAAAACTGGGGTGTTCTCAGCAGCAGTTTATCTGTTGGAGAAATACCATAACACTTCATCTTAATAATTTAACCACTTGAACTGCTTTACATAGCGATTCAGGTTTAACACAGTGGACAATTTATAGGGTTGCCAGGTCTGGGCTGGGAAATACCTGGAGATTTTGAAGGTGGAGCCCCCGGGGGAGGCAGGGTCTGGGGAGGGGAGGGGCCTCAGCAGGCTAGAATGCCACAGAGTCCACCCTCCAAAGCAGCCATTTTCTCCAGGGCAACTGATCTTGGTCATCTGGAGATCAACTGCAGTAGTGGGAGATATCTAGGAGCCACCCCGCCCTTCACCTGGAGGGTGGGCAACCATAGCAGTTTGTCTCAGCAGAAAGAGACACAGCAGAAACACAGCATGAGTCAGAGTACTGCTGCTGTTTTCAGATTAATATGTTGCTGGGGTGAAAGTTGGGGGAGTCGTCCAACATTGACTAAATGTCTTCAATGCAAGATGAGTTTTCTTGACTTGTTCTGGGGCTGAAACCCAATAAATGCCATACATTTTTTTCTGCACACTGAAGATGGCTTTGTACACTAAAGCAACTCCCTGTAACACACAACCAGTGTTCCCTTTAAGCTGAGTTAGTGAGAGCTAGCTCACAGTTTTTTAGCTTCTGGCTCGCACATTTTTGTCTCAGCTCAGGAAGGATGGCTCCAGAGATAACTAATGTATGCAGTAGCCAAATCACTCACTCACAACTTTAATGCCAGTAGCTCACAAAGTAGAATTTTTGCTCACAAGACTCCACAGATTAGAGGGAACATTGCACACAACATAGCTTTATTGAAACAGAGACCTTCAAAAACAGTATGTGAAGTGTCATAGGATCTTGGGTTAAAATAAAAATATTCTGTATGCAATTAAGAAGAAGAAGAGATTGGATTTATACCCCGCCCTTCACTACCCAAAGGAGTCTCAGAGCGGCTTACAATCCCTTTCCCTTCTTCTCCCCACAACAGACACTCTGTGAGATAGGTGGGGCTGAGAGAGCTCTTTTGAGGACTGCTCTTGAGAGAGCAGCTCTGAGAGAACTTGTGACTGACCCAAGGTCACACCAGCAGCTGCAAGTGGAGTAGTGGGGGATCAAACTCGGTTCTCCCATATTAGAGTCCACGCTTCTCTCTCTCTGGATCACTTTCTCAGGAAAGAATTATGGACACAGTTACTAACTTCAGTTGCTTTTCTTTTCAACAGATCTTCCTTTCAGCAACCCTAAGTATTCTCCAACACAATATTTGAATGTGTTAATTCATCAAAATAATTAGGTCTTGGAAAGTCCAGGATTAATTAATTGGAGTTACCTTGCATTCTGTCTCATGCATTTTGAGGACCAGGGATTTCACAGACTTCTCCACAACCTTCATGTGTGGCTGCCTTCAAAGACAACCCAGAAGTGAGAACTGGTCCTGAGTATTGTCGGGGGCTAACCGCCAGGAACATATTTTTTTTATTTATTTATAATTCAGATTTGTGAATCGCTCAGTCCCTGAGTACTCAGGGCTCTGAGCAATGAACAACAACAAACAACAATAATGTATCACATCATAATAAAACAACTTCCAACAATTTAAAATCAATTAAATTAAATTAATTAAAATGTGATCCATATATGCTGTTTCCCAGTTCAATTCTAGGTGCTGATTATGACCCTTAAAGCCCTTCCTGAGCTAGGTCCCACGTTTTTAGACGGTCTCCCTCCATATGTCCCTGTGAGCCATCAGCCATCCCTCTGTTGGCTATCCCACCATTTAGGGTAGCCAGTCTGGCATTGACCAGAGCCTCGGCCTTTTCTGTTGTGGCTCCGGCTCTGTGGAAAGGGGTCCCTGAAGAGCTGAGAAGGCTGTCTCCTTGGAGATCTTCAGGAGGTGCTGTAAGGCCTACCTGTTTGCCAGGGCTTTTGAGAAAGTCTGAATTGGCCAGCATCTTTTAAAGGGGGGAGGAAGGGAGAGATCTGGAGTTTGTGATTTTATTTTTGGTTTTAAACTGCAGATGTTTTAACTATTATTGTAAGATGCCTTGAACCACGAGGCAAGGTGGGATATAAGTGTTTTGATAAATAAAATGATGAGAACTTTTTAATGAAAGCTGAGGTTCTTGAAATAAACAACCACAGCTAGCTGATAAGTGCATCGGGAGCTGAATGCAGCCTATGGGCCATCAGTCTTCGCTTCTGAGAACACAGCTCCCCTGGCCCAAACCCCAGGTTTCATTAACCTGACTAGATCAAACAGAGAAGCATGCTATGATGAGAAAGATGGTGTGCTAGGGCGAGCAAGACCAGAAATGAATAATATAGTGATGCTTGGATAGTCACAAAGAGAAAACCCCTTAAGCCTGTGCAACTCAGACAGTAGCATACTTTAGTGACCGTTGGCTGATAAGGATGAGATCATAAAGTGGTTTTACTCTGTTGGTGCTGTTTCGGTTTTTGACCTGTGTGTTTGTATAGCACTATGGTCTCTTCTGGCCCAACTTGGTTGTGTCTAGAAGTGTGCTTGAAGCAGCATGATACAGTCCTTCTCCACCCATTAAATCGTTTTCAGGCTCAGGACCCAACCTTTAATGTCAGTTTGCAACATGGGACTTTTGGTTTTCCACGTATGTCAGTTTTTTTCATTCTGTCTCCCACCCACTGACCCATACACGGTTTCTTGCTTTTCCCATTTTTTCTTTTTCACTTCGAACCCTTCTCTCCTTCTCCTTGTCAACAAAGCCTAAATGGAAACAATGGTAAAGAGACTGGTGTGATGATCTGCCTTCAGCAGGGCGTTACCTTGTTGTGCCCCCCCCCCCCAAAGGGGGGAGCCGTGCCAGGGACGAAAAGCTGGCATGTATCTTAAAAATCTCTATGCTACAGTGTGTCTCAACAGGTATGGAATATATGGTGTGATTCAACAGTGTAGTGTTTGATCTTGCTGCTTGTTGGTGGAAAGTGCCGTCAAGTCACAGCTGACTCATGGCAACCCCATGAGGTTTTCAGGGCCAGAGACAAGCAGTGGGGGTTGGCCACTGCTGCTCTCTGTGTTGCAATCCTGGACTTCCCTGGTGGTCTCCCATCCAAGTACAAAACAGGTCCAATCCTGCTTAGCTTTCAGCCTGTGCCATTGAGGTCAGGGTCTCATTGCTTAGTCAAGGGTAATAGTAGATTCTGCATTGTGAGTAAGGTAGGAGCAAAGTTGTTCCCTGCGTCTGGAACAGATAGTAAGTAGTAGTATAGCTTGCTGTTAAGCATTTTTAGTGCATTTTGAGGAAGTTTCAGATGTTGTTAGAAGCGGCTTCCAGAACAATGAATTTGTTTTTTAATGTATATAGAACAGACTGCTTTCCTCTAACCACACCACCGCATTTAACAGTGTTCATGAAACTGAAGGAAGAGTATTTATTATGTATTAAAATATTTATAATATATATTTTTAAAATATAGAAATATTTAGAATATTTATATGTATCTGAAGAAGTGAGCAGTGACTCATGAAAGCTCATACCCTGCCACAAATTTTATTAGTCTTTAAGGTGCTACTGGACATTTGCTCTTTTCTACTGCTACAGACAGTCTAACACGGGCTACCCATCTTGATCTTTCTCTTGTGGGCCTCAATTCAAGAAAATCCATTAACAGCCCCCTAAAGGGGGGCTG